TTGCGATGCCTAGAACAGATGCTTCAGAATGATTCGCAAGTCGTATGGGAGAAGAGAACACCTACGAAGGACGTATGCAAAGGGAGAAGGCTACATCTACGTGCTAAGTCTGCTGTTGTGACCTAGCTCTGATACCATGATAACAAAGAACATCTATTTTGTATATATTATTGAATAATGATTGAGTACAATATATATAACCTAAATGAAATAAACCCTAATAATCTAATAGACTAAACTACCCTAAATAACTAATAGAAAATACAATAATCTTCACAGTTCTTGCTCTCTCAAGAACTATACATATATATATAGAGAGAGAGAGGGGGAGATATTTGGCATTGTAGGTGGAGGGAAATGGGGAAGATAGCGAACACTATACATGGGTTGAAGCCAACAATGATGATGGTGGTGGTTCAGGTTGCATTGGCAGGAAACAGTGTATTCTACAAACTTTCTTCGAGTATTGAAATGAACATGAGGGTCTTGATTGCCTATCGCTTTGTCTTTGTTGCTACCTTCATTGTCCCCCTCGCTTTACTCCTTGAAAGGTCTTCTATCTATACATATATATGCGCTTCTGGATTTCGATCCGTTTTATTTATTTATTTATTTTTTGATAACGAGTTTTGATTATTTGAATATATATATATACATGTTTTTTTTTTCTTTTTATTTTAGAAAATATGGAAATTTGTTTAGTTTTATTTCTTTACTATTGGGTTGTATTATTTCCAAGGACAACCAAAAATTCATTTGCCTGCCAAGAAACGAATAAATTTTTTTATATGAATTGACAAAATAGGCTTTCCATAGGCTTGAGTCACTCAATATAATTAACAAATATTTAATGGGACTATTCTAGAGATAATTGATTGATTGAATTTTACAAAATGAACATAGTAATTGATTTTACATAATAGCTACGAGATAATTAGTTAATTAAAAAACTAAAATTACAAAATTCATTAAGACAAAATGTATTTATATTTTATTGTAAATATAATTATTGTATGGGAACTAATTAATGCTAAATCAATTTTCTTTTATATTATAAACAAAGTTTTTGCTATAATTTAATTACAAAAATAATTTTTAATTATTTGTTTTAATCCGTGCATGCACGGGTATCATGCTAGTATATATATATATATATATATATATTCTTTTTAGATAAATAGCCCACAAATAGCACTGCATGATAGCCGTCTGATGGGTACAAGATTAAAAGGTTGGGATTGGATACAATGACAAGCAAGGCGAAGGTGGCTAGGACATTGATGTGCATAGGTGGGACCATGCTGCTCACTTTCTACAAAAGGCAGAGCTCAACATCTAGGTCAACCAACGTTGACTTTTTGCATCACACGGGTGGACACGTGGAAAAACTACACCTACATAATCGTAATCACGTGTTTGGAGTTTTGACTTTTTGCATCACACGGGTGGACACGTGGAAAAACTACACCTACATGATCGTAATCACGTGTTTGGAGTTTTACTGGTTGTGTCCTGTTGTTTCCTTAGTGCAATGAGATGGATTGTTTAGGTGATCTTGCAACAACAACCAACAAATTAAATAAAAAAGAAATTTACTTAAATGACCTTTACTTATGTCATTTATTCCGAATGTGTCCTGCCTGTTGAGCCAAATAAGATGATCCGAGACTACCATTGTGTGTACTCTGCCACTGCTCTGATGATCACGATGGGAGCAATATAGGCCGTTGGATTTGCACTCTACATTGATAAAGACTGGAGTGAGTGACAGTTTGGATAGAATCTAAGACTACTAGCTATCTCTTACTCGTATGTATCCTTGTACTAGAAACATACATTTAGTACACATGCATGTGCAGAAATAAAAGACAATTATAATTGTCATTTAGCAACAAAAAATTTGACTATACTTGGAAAAAAAAAAATGATTACTTCACAAATAAATTTTGTTACTATAAGAATAATACAAGTTGGCTTAAGTTATTAAACTTAAGCCAACTTATACTATTCTTAAAGTATAATCATTTTTTTTATAATTATTTTCAAGTATAGTCAATTTTTTTTTGCTAAATAACGATTACAACCGTCTTTCATTTCTCGACATGCATGTGTACTAAATGTGTGATTCTAGTACAAGGATACATATAGAATAAGAGACAGCTAGTAGTCTGAGGTTCCATCCCAATTTCCACTTACTCCAGTCTCTAGCCGTGCAGAGTGCAAATCCAATAGCCTGGATTACTCTCATTGTGATCATCAGAACAGGGCTAAAGTACACACAAGGATATAGTTCCAGATCATCTTAGCCTGGCCCAACAAGTAGGACACATTCGGAATAAATGACATTAGTCAAGGTCATTTAAGTAAATTTCTTATTTATCATTTTAATTTTTTTTTTATTTAATTTGTTGGTTGTTATTGCAAGAGCACTTGAACAATCAATCTCATTGCAATAGATAAACAACAAGACACAACCAATTAAGCTCCCAAAAAGTGATTACGATCATGTGAGTGTGTGGTGTTGCCACATGTTCACCCTTGCGATGCAAAATGTCAACGTTGATTAACTCAAATGTTGAGCTATGTCCCTTTGTAGAAAGTGAGCAACATGGCCCCACCTATGTACATCAATGTCCCAGCGACTTTCGCCTTGTCTGTCATTGTACGCAATCTCAGCCTCTCCATCCTATACCCATCATACCTAACCCACTCTACGTGGGTGTCGGTTAATTGGTGATGTGTTTGGGTCTTCATGATGCAAAGACAATAGGATGGAGGTAGCTACTAGTGGATCAAGGAGGTGGTGATGGTGGGTTGTCGATTTACAGAGAGAGTATGAATACGAAATAGAGAGAAGAAAATGAGATGGGCGCAAGCCGAGCTAGGCTAGGTGGGATTAGGTTTCATGGGTAATTCATGTTGGCCGCAAAGGTGGTGCTCAGTAGGGGCAACATACGGTGGCTAGCTGGTACTAGCCGTAGTAGAGATTGTGCGCCATATGCGTGTTTAATGGTGTCCCTATGTAAATCATATCCACCATCCAGTGTTGAAATTAATGATGTTTGGTGGTGAAGACTAGTTCCTGTTGGTGGTAGTGAGTTAGCTACATAGTGTATTATGGGTCCTATATATACAAGTGTAAATCAAACCTATAGAGACCTATAGAGATGAGGCTGGGATACCCATCCTACATGTAGGTAGGGTCATATCATTGCTGTAATTGTACGTGTTGGAGCCACCCACTTGTATATAGAAGTGAAAAATTAAATATATATATATGATTATATGTAACATTTTTCTTTGAGAGTTCAGATGTAAACTGAATTTTGGACAATGTTTACACAAAACAACTAGTTTTTCAAAGGAATAATAAATATTTATATTCTTGTGTGATTACATACTGAATAAATAAACAAATAAGAGCAATTAAGATTTAGGTCATTTTACAATACGCACTTTTAAAAATGTACATATTATATGTAAGTCATGACGTATTGTGATATTGATAATACAAAATGTCATAACCAAATTACTTTTGGTCATAATTAAAGGGATCACAATAGATCATAACTAAATAGAACACGAGATATATCTAAATACCTCTTTAGTCATAACCAAAATAACAATATGACAAAGTCATAACAAACACCATAATAAGTCATAACCAACACGAAAATGACTCATAACTAAATACTCCAAATATCATTTGAGACATAACTAAAGACCTTTTGGATAATGACCAAAATAACAACCGTCATAAATAAATCATAATTTAACACTACAATCAATCATAATAAATTTATAACCAATACCACAATTAGTTTTTTTTTTTTTTTTGGTAAGTATACCACAATTAGTTAACAAAAGAATATTGGGAATATGGACACCCTTTTTTTTCAATCTGTATTATAGAAGGGGTACTTACGTGTAGGTCCTAATAAGTGTACTTATTGTCTAATAGGTCCTATGAAAAAAATTTATCATAAAAAAATGTCACTAATTGTAAGTTTTAGCGACAATTTATAAAAAATCATGATAAAAAAAGTCACTAATTGTCAATTTTTAGCTACATGTAAAAAATTGTCACAAAAAAAAATATTTTTAGCAATAATTTTACCAAGACTTATTTTCAATAGGACTTGATAAGAATTAAGTCTAACTATTAGGACCTATTAGTAGTTTACCCACATCGATCTTCATCTTTAAGGGTTGATCACTGAGTATTTTGAAAGACATTAGATCAGAGCAGTTAAGATTATCATTAGGGAGGAGAGTTTATAGTAGAATATAATTCATGTTAGAGGGGAAACGCTGTGAAACTTCTAATAAAAGGAAAGCAACTGAAACTTCTAACATTTAAAAATTTAGGAACCTCAACTATCAAACACTTTTAAGTAGGATTTATAATTACATACATTTGTATTTAGGGACATATTACTAATTTTTCCTTTTATTAAATCCCATCATTTTTAGTTAGATTTTTAGTAGAAATGAAATAGATAAAATAAGAAAGTTCTATTTCTTATCAATTTTCACTATAATTTATAAACTTAACATGATGAGAAAGAGTTTTAGGATTTTGTTTTAAAATATACATATTTATTTGATAAAGAAAAAAAAAGGGGTAAAGTGTACTATTATTTTATATATATAGATGAGTAATGCTATAAAATATATATATAGATACATAATAAATAATGGTTGTATTTGAACTTTTCATTTTAAAAGATAATACTCTTTAAAAATAATATGATCCCTATCATAATATTTTAGTAATACTATAAAAATTTGGACAAATTGCATTTCAGTGTATGATATAAAATAAATTGCCTTTCAGTGGTCAAGTTTACCAACTTTAATAATTAAAGTGATAAACTTTTCATAACTTTACAACAAAAAAATTTTTTTTGTCTTGCTACTGATTTGCAATTTTTCTTAATTTTTTTTTTTTTTTTAACAATATATCACAATAAAACACATATATATTGAATTGAGCTTACCCAAGTAACATACAAAGAAAAGCTTGGCACGTCACTTTCCATGTTAACTTTGGTCCGCTTTTCCTGTAATCACAAATCAACTCACATCTCAACAACACAATATTACAACAAACACAAAAATACATATAAGTGCCATTTTGGGAACATGGTAAAAAGTCACATTTTTGGACAAAATGTCCAAAAACGTGGCTGCCAAAAATGCCAGAAAGGCCATTTGGCAAGTGTCAAAAACGCAGCCGTAAAATTACAAATTAGGACCTATGAAAAAAAAATAAAAAAAATAAATCTCTTATGTTGAGTAAGGGTATTTTGGTCATTTTAATTTGATTTGACACCATAAATAAATATTAAATTAAAAAGCAAAAAGCTAACTTTTTATCAACTTTCCAAATCACTTCCAAAAAAGCCAAAAAACTTGATAAAAAGTCAAAAGCCCACTTTGTTTTTTTGTTTTCCATTTCTCTTGCGGATTCATGAAATAATACAACCCAATAGTAAAGGAACAAAGCTAAGGAGGTTTTCATATTTTCTAAAATAAAAAGAAAAACAAATATGTATATACTCAAATGATCAAAACCCATTATTAAAATAAATATATAAAAAAAAATAACTTTGATCAAAACCCAGAAACTTTAATATATAGATGTAAGACCTTTCAAGGAAGAGAGCGAGAGGCACAATGAAGGCAGCACCAAAGAGAAAGTGATAGGCAATGAGAAAAAAAACCCCACAATGAATATATGTGTGGTGTTGGGTAGAGAGAGAGAGAGAGAGAGTCAGTCGGGAATACTTCAATGAGCGTTAAGTGTAAATCCTAAGACTCTGTTTTGGTGAGTAATTTGACAATTAAAAAAAAAAAAAGCAGATCCGAATCGATCAAGAAATAGAGAAGGAGAGAGAGAGAGCCGTCTGAATCGATCAAGAAAATCTTGGTGAAGCTGGTGAGTTCATAATCTCTACCCTCGGAACATTTTCTCTATCACTTTGAATGCAATGTTTGCTTTCCTTTGTCAAGACATTGTGGTTCTGTTGGAATTTCAGCCACAACCCATCTGGGTTTTCTTCAAAATCTATACAGATTCAAAAATCAAAACTACTCCAAAAACATATAAAAAATGACTAGATTGCAAAATTGATGAGGGTGAAGAAGACCCACCTCTGTTGCTGTTGTTGTCGTCGTCGTCGTTTTGTTGGGAGTCCCTCCTTGAAGAACAACAGGGTTTGATGAGAGGTTTTTGAATCCTTGAAAAAGTAGACCATAAATTGTGAGGTGTCAAAAAGCTTCCGAATCGGAATCGAATATCCATTTGAATCTGTGTATATGATTCTTCTACTTGGTGATAATGCAATATGGTTTCTCAATCTCAGCCAGAGCTTCAATCTGAGACTCTCTCTCTCTCTCTCTCTCTCAATGTGTATGTATGTGTTATCAGACTGACTGAGCTTCAATCTGACTTTTTTTTTCTTTTTTTCTTTTGAAATTAACTCACCAAAACTTAATCTCAGCCAAGATCACTCTAGGAACTCTAGATCTTAACGCCTTGAGCGAGATAGGCAGAGAGAGAGAATGAGGTTGGTATTTATTTTGATTAAAGAGACCTGAGGAGGCTCTGATATGGTGCTGGTGTACTCACATGCACTTTGCGCTTCCATACAGCAGTAATAGGGAGGTGTACGTATAGAGTTCTATACAGTTGACGGTAGAAAAAAAATAATAAATAATATTTGAGTCTTAATAGATCTCTAAAATAGGAATGGCAACGGGCGGGGCGGGGCCGAGGATCGCCCTCCCCGTCCCCGATCCCCGGCGGGGAACCCATCCCCCCCCCCCGCCCCTAACGGGGATCGAGTTTCCCCGACCCCGAAAAATCCCCGCAGCTCTCTCTCTCTGTATTTAGCTTTCTTTCTCAATGATAATAATAAATCACCAACATCATTTTCATCAACAACATCATCAACGGCAACCAAAAAAAAAATTGAGGCTAATAGAGACACATACATGTAACACACACATACATGTATACATACACATAGACATACATGTAATGTAACACAGATCTGCCCAGATCTGCCATGGCGGAAACCGAAGCCGGAGTATGAAGGCTCGGCGGTGGCGCAGAGGAGGAGGTGACGGAGGAGGAGGAGGAGGAGGCGGGGGTGTGCGTACTGCCGCGGAGGAGGAGACGACGCCGTCGCCACTGTGGAGAGAAGAGTGAGTGAGAGAGCTGTCGCCGATTGCAGAGTGAGTGCGAGAGAGTTGCCTGCAAAGAAAGAGAGAGAGAGAGAGAGAGACCCTTGAGTCAAAAAGAACTCAAAAGAACGAGAGAGTTGATTGGGAGGGAGAAGATAAGAGTCAAAAAGAGAGATTGATTGGGAGAGAGAAGATAAAAGTCAAAAAGAGAGAGATATTTTATTTATATAATACAATTAAACTGAGTGAGAGAGATATATATTTATTTATATAATACAAATAAACTAACCATAATATATGTAATACTAATACAACCAAACTAAACATATTGGTGGGGATACTTTCGGGGAAATTTCGGGGCCAGGCTGGACCGGGGCCGGGGCCGAGAACCTATCCCCGTTCCCGGCTCGAAAATCTTGAGATGTGTTTTTTAATATCGGTCCCGATTTTATGGGAGCAATATTCGAGGAAAATCTTATTTATTGGGGTAGAATGGTTCGGACTTTTGTCGGGCTGAGTGTGTATTGTCATCTCTAGATGGTCGGGGGTTCGCGGATTGATTTTGTGCGGTTTGCGGTTTGGTTTTAATCTGTCCGCATCTATGCGGTTTGAGAAAAAGTCAATCCGCAACCATTCGTAGTGCGGTTTGCGATTTGTGCGGATAGGATTTGCAAATGTGCGAGCGGTTGCGGGCGGTTTGCGGTTTACACTTTTTTCTTTAAAAATTAATTTTCGAGTTTTTTTTTCCCAGCGAATTTAGACATCAGATTCATTTTATATATTTGTGATAACAATTTTTTGATGAGTTTACAAATAAAAATTGAATATCAATGTATTAAATGAAAGTACCCAAAACAAAGAGACGTACCTAGCATTTTTGCCATGAAAAAAATGTATATCAATGCATTAAAGGTTGTACTCAATTAGAATTGCCAGTTCAGTAATCAATAATCAAACTATATAAGTTCCATCGACATTAGAAGGAAAATTTTATTAGGAAAAAGTGGATGAATCACCAATGAAAATCATATAAGAAACCAAGTTTAAGACTTGATAATTCTACGGCATTAGGAAAGTTGAGAAATACTTAAAAATAAGGATCCTAGTGTCATAGAGAATATAATGGTACTCTTGTAAAAGTTACAAAGTTGATATATAAAATAATAATAATAATAATAATAATTAAAGTGCGGGCGATTTTTGCGGATTGCGGGTTTAAACCGCGACCCGCCCGCAACCCGCAAATTTGTCATATTTCAAACCGCATCCGCCCGCATTATGTTTGCGAAACCACCCATTTATATGCGGGTTGGGCGGATTTGGCGATTTGAGCGGTTCGGATAAACCGTTGCCCACCCCTACTAGATGGGTCTCATATGGTGATTTGATATTGAGCGAATTATACTAACAGTCTCTATAATTTAGAATTCGTATCACTTTGATTCCTAACTTTTTAATTGTGACAGATTTAACTCTGAATTTTAAATTTTGTTTTAAATAAGGACAATTGAAGATATCATTGTTTAATTTTAAGGATAAAATCGTCAATTTGATAAAATATAAATTAATTTGACAAAAATAAATGTCAAAAAAATATTTTTAAATTTTTAAAAATTATTTCTACCCACTAAAAAAAATATGTAAAATTAATAAATCTTCTAGACAATCTTCTAGACATTTATTTATTTATTTATTACCAACATTTTTTTATTATGTATTTTGGATGATAATCATGTAATGGGTGGATATTGAAATTTTAATGTGTAATCGATATATTTAATATATGAGATATTTTTAGTTTTGGATTTTTTTTTTGAGTAATGCTAGAGACCCCAAATATTCTACCAAAAGTTTTACCAAATGTCTCACATGTGTGGGTCCCACACCCATGTGAGACATTTGGTAAAACTTTTGGTAGAATTTTTGGGACCTCTAGCATTTTTGTTTTTTTTTTGATTTAATAGATTAGTTTAATAATGATATCAAAGTTGTTGCCATATTTGATTTTTAAAAAAATAAAAACTAATTTAATGAAAATAAAAACAGCTACCCATTACATAATCATCATCGAAACACATAATAAAATTTAATTTAGTACGAGGAAGAAATAATTCTCCTCGTATAATCCTGTTGACCAAGTCCACGCTCCTCCGTACGACGTCGCTTTGTCACTTGAAAACACAAACGTGAGCTAGCCGGCGGGTGTGTGCCGGAAACCTCTCCGATGCCTAAGTCAGAAAACTTGACAAATAGACAAAGCTTAATGTATTCAGGAAGCAAAATTGTATGTTGTGTTATGTTACCCCCTTCCAAGGTAATGCTTGTGAGCTTTTATAGGTTTCGAGTGGCCCAATCCTAGTAGGACTTTTATTTCTCCATGCAGAGTCCTCCTAGGATTCATGCTCCTAAAAGATAATGCTTATCTTTTTACACCCCCCCCCACTGCTTAAACCAAGTGGGATGGTCTTCACCATGGCCGAACTATCATCCGACCGAGATAAACTTGGCTATGCTGAGCCACAAAGTAAGCCGAACTATCCTTAGTTCGGCCCTTTCCGCTTATATTTCCTTATCTCGGTTCTCATTTGTTCAACTCATGGTGTGCTTGGACCGAACCAACGACTCTTCGACCGGTATAACTCCAAACCGGTATACCTCTAAAGCCGGTATAAATTCAAGAACGATGTACCTTCAAGACCGATCTAACTTCAAGTTGCTCTCGGACCGAAGTAGCTCAACAATTCACGAGCCGAAGTAACTTCATCTCTTTTGACCGGAATAACTCTATCTCCCTTGAGCCTGACTAACTTTTCGGCCCTTTTTACTCAGTCCGTCATACTTTGGGCCATAAAGTCCGTCTCATAGCTCGGCCCAATTTTCACTCAAAATTACCCTCTCAATTGCCCCTTAATCCCATCTGCACAGTATGATTAGGATTACCAAGTGTCCAACCGAGCTAGACGTTTTCAAGCCTTTTCCAGCCGAACTAAAACATCGTTTTAGTCGTTCCAGCCGAGCTTATTTTACTCCGGCTCTGCTTTGTTCGGTCAAAACGTCTCTTCAATCACTGACTGTAACGCTTCACTTTCCAATGACACGTGGTAGGTCCCGATAGACTGTGAGCTGTTATCACGCCGCCCTCGTACCACGAAATTTTTGAACAGTCCCGCCCCTTTTTTGCCGCTTTTTCTCTCTCCTTTTACACAAAACCACCCTTTCATTTTTTCAATCATTTACTCTACTCCTTTCTTCTTCTCTCTCTTATTCCTGAGCCCTGAGTTTGAGCTCGCTGTGTTCGTGCCCTTCATTACTGCCACTGCCTCCATCTTCAGTCCTCTTTTCTTTCAATCTTGGTAAGCAAATCTACTTTCCTTCCCTGTTTTTGCTTTCGTATCTGCTCTATACATCTGGTTTACTGCATTTTTGCAAAACATGTTCTTCCCTTTCTGCTTTGCTTCTGTACTTTCATGAAAAAACAATAGCAAAACTCATGTACGTATTGAACTTCTGTAGAAAACTAGTCTTAGATCCAAAATAATGTAGCGACCGAACTAGGGTACTGTTTGTCCTACATAGGTAGATCACTTTAGTCAATAACCGAACTGGAACTTGTAGGGATGGTAGCAGCTTCAACAAATAACCTTCTGATTCACCTTAACCGAAATAAGATCACCAAACGAAGTTTGAACATTTTAGACAAGGAACCACGATCATCAACCGAGCTAAGCCTTTATGGCTAAGCCAGCTTTCTTAGTTTCTAAACCAAACTCAGAAAGCTCCCCCTAGTAGCTTAACCGAAGTAAAAAATCCACTGTTCAAACTGAGATAACAAACCTTAAAAGAAAATCCGATCTTGCGTACCCTAAGTTCAAACCGAACTACCAAATATTTTGCCGAACCGAGACAGAACCTGCCCACAAAGCCGAAGTAGGGCTCATATACCTTGCTTTTAATTTGTAGCACGGTCCAATGATCTGTGCTTAACCCCTTTGTTTTCTACTTTGCAGACTTAGGTTACCCAGGCACTCCTGCGCGCGCTCAACCGAGCTACTGAGCACAATTTTTGCACCGATATAACTTATTCGTAATTTATACAACAAATGGGTAAGTATAGGTACCTAGTAGAGACCCCTGGTGGCATGGCCGAATTCAGGAAGGACTATAGCATACCTGATGATGTCCACTTGACTTTAGCCAAAAAAGATGTCATCCCATGGGATAATGAAGGCTTTGTCCCCTTCACCCTTTTATCCATTATAGAAACCAGACTACGGTTTCCGGTCCAACCATTGATCTGTGAATTTCTTAGGCAGACTAGATTATGCCCTACCCAACTGTCCACCAATTCATACCGCATCATTATGGGGATAGCCGCACTGAACCACCAAACCGGACTAAACCTTGGCCTGGCCGAAATCTTCCATCAATACTCCATCGGCTCAAAAGAGGATGGGTGGGTCTATTACCTTAGGATTCGCCGCCGCCGAGAGAAGATAGTTAAATACACACCGGACAAAGACCTTAATGACGACTATTTTTTCTGGGTCTCTGGGAACTTTAAGGATTTTCAAGCCCAAATTCCTGGCCGACCTATAAATTGGAAAAAGGGAGAACCTGGTAATTTGACTTCGGTCTTCTTCCTTGTATTTTTATTTCGGTTTTTTAGTCTATCAACCGAACTAACAGTTCTTCTTTCACAGATTTCGCCCACCTCCATTCCTTATACAGCTATCCCAACCTTGCGATTTT